CACACTGACCAGCACTGACACACTGACCTGACGTGTGGATGCAATTCACTCAGCTTTATATAATGTGAAGGGGGGATCGGTATGAGGGTGGAAGAGATCATTAAGACCGGAAAATAACAGTCATCTTTATGTGCATCCCTCCACAGCTTTAGCAATACAGCAAATCCAATATCAGCCCAGCAGTAACAATATCAAATATCACTGCCCTCAAACATGACAAGAGAAAAGCGTATACGGAATAACGTTAGAAATGGTAGCTTAAAAATACTGACCCATTACCTTTTGAGATGTTCATGTAAAACTGCCTTGTCTATCGATGCTGCCTATGTTTCTTAACGTTAACAGAAAGTCATGTTCAACCCATCATGACACACTGGAGCAGATGTATTTAATTATTTTTGACATATTCATTTGAAAAGAAAACTAAAATAATCGTTTTTATCTTTTCTTTGTTCATCATGTTCATCTTCTGCACTCAAACTTTTAAATTCTTGAAAGGCTTTTAACTTAGACTTGTGATCTGTATCCTTCTATCCATTGGCCACAACATTGAGAGCAATTTGAGTATCCTGCCCAAGGACACATTTTGATTGCAGGGGCTTGGGATCAAACCAGCAACCTTTTGAATTGGAGAACGACGGTCTACCTACTGAGCCACAGCCACAGTACACCTGTAGTTCAAAGAACAACAGCTGCAGTAAACAACACTTTAAATATAAAAAAACAACACCTGTTGTTTAAAGAAGAATATTGTACCAGGGCTGAGAGACCAGGGGCCTCATTTATAAAGGGATATACGCTCAAAAAATGGCGTACGCCAGTTTCTACGCAATGTTTGCGATTTATAAAATACTAACTTGACGGGAAAACGTGCGGTCCTCCACGCAAACTCTAACCCATGCGTACGCACTAAGCACAAAAACGGGAGAGACGAGAAACTACGACACCGTTGGCAGAAGGAAGAATGGAGAGAAATATGTGGAAATAATACCATAAATAAAATGTTACCTCTCATTTATCATATATGAAGAATTCATTTTCAAATATTGATTAAAGCCAATCTTAAAATGATTAAACAAACGCCTGTTTGAGACTCCTCAGTGCACACAAAAACATAACTTGGAGAAATAAATAAATACGGATATGTTATTTAAAACCACCTCGAATATGTTGTGTTAATGTTATGAAATGTTTTCTCATAAATGATGCGGTAAGCAGGAGGACAGAATTAGTCTAAACTGACGCCGTGTTGCATTTCTATAGGTTGTAGATACGAGCATGGTTTTATATACTATCATGTTTAATCGTGTTTTATGCCGTTTGCCAAGACTTGATAAGTCGCTCGTAAAACACAGGAGGTGTGGAAACTAAGAACACCATATGTGGTAAATTGTACAGCTAATATAACACAACACATTAGTTGTATTTCCTTTAACTGGTGGATATAGAGTTGCTGCGGGGAGGGGGGGTTGAGATGCACAGGCTGCAGTGGAGACGCTGCGCACAGCTGATCGACAGCTGGGACACAAATACAAAAAACATAATTCAGATCCAGTCGTCATGACTCCACTCCGGAGGGATTCCCCGATCATTTCTTACAGTCTCTCATCAAGGGGTGTCTCCTGTCCCCGGTACAAACACACTGTCTGAGGAAGGCTATGTGTATTGTTTTTGTCATTAACCTTTTTCGGACCACTTATTTATTTATTTTGGTGACGATCCGACCTCCATGCTGCTACTCTGGTTCAAACTGCATCCACCAAACAATATGATTTATCTCGACCTCCCCAAAATAACCTAAATCTGACACGGTGTGAGATGTCTTTTTTAGCTGTTCTGTCGTCATTTCCTGCGATCTTCTTCATAAAGTCAGTCAGAATGAATGAATGGGCGTTTCTTTGACTATTTATAGGCAAATATGGGCGTTACGTGAAGCCCGAAAAAGCTGCACCGCATTTCGAGTCGGTTGTGATTTATAAAGGGAAACCGGCGTAGGAAGTGCTGTACGCACTTTCCTGGCCGGTACGCAATGTTTGGTGAATCGGAAAATGTCGGAACATTTCTGTACCTATTTTTTGGATTTCTACTACGTAAGCAGCCTTCCCACGTGAATCCTACGCACTGCGTTATAAATGAGGCCCCAGGTGCTTTGACAGTAGCTTTTATGAGAGACAATTATTGAATGGAAATAAATCCTGGAAAAGCAGAGTGAGTGTGGCACAAGTTCCCCTACCAGGCCCGGTTCTACGGGGTGCATAAGGGTGCATTGCACCCTCAGTTGAGTCGTTATGCACCCTCATTTGAAAAATGAAAAGTGAAAAAAAATAATAATTACATAATAATAATAATAATAATAATAATATTAAAAAGAAGAATATAGTTGAAATAAAATAAATATGTAATTGTGGTTAAATAACATTGTGTGCTGCATTTATTTGGTCAATTTAAACGGTAAGTAACGTTATTATGTCAGGTGCGCGTGACCTGTGCCGCTGCACGTTCGTCATTTGCAAGGTGCTTACACAGCAGTCAGTGATGGAACTCAGAAAATGGTTAAAACAACCAGCCATTATCGCCAGCAGTAACACTGCATCTACTGCAGGTAATAACAGTTCAGATCATGGGGACATTACGTTACCCGCGGCATCTGTCGTGGACACTAACGTCCTCCCTCCCGACTCGCCGGCTTTGCCTGCCTCACCCACGGAGGCGGAGCAGCCGTCTTCGTTGCCCCAAACACCGCCACCCCTCAGCGGCCCGCAAGTGCCAGAGGACCTCGGCAAAACAGAGCCTGCCCAGGTATATTTAAAAAAGTACCCAACTCGCCTGTACAGTGGGGTAAGGCGCTCATTTTGCAGCTCATGGTTTCAAAACAGAGATTGGCTCGAATATTCATGTGAAAAAGATGCCATCTTCTGCTATGCATGTAGACATTTCGGTCAAGGGGAGTGATTTGTAAAATATCCATAAAGAAATAGAAAATCTGTTTACAGTTCTGTTTCATATGGGTGTTGAGATGTATCCATTCGGGCTGCTCAATTAATCGTATTTGAATCGTATTTGAATCGTGATTACGATTATGGCTTGCAACGATTACGAAAACAACGTAATCGAAATAAAACAATAATTTTTTTATGATTATTATTACTTTTCTTTTTTTTGGGGTTTTTGGGGTTTTTCAGTTGAATTATACTTAAAGTTCAGGGTAATCAACTGTTAAAAACATACTGTTCAAATTGTTTTCTTTCCAATAAATGGATGTTTTCAAAGTCAATGAATAATTGCATTTAATAATCGCAATTACAATTATTGACCCAAATAATCAAGATTATGATTTTTGCCATAATCGAGCAGTATCCATAGATCTCTTCATTTTGCTCTCAAAGTGCACCAGATTGATGCTTTTAACTTCAATATTTTAAAATAAATCTTCCCGGGGGAGCATGCCCCTGGACCCCCCTAGAGGGTGTTAGGTCCACTCCCCACTTATAAAAATAGCACTTTACGACTGCACCCTCTGAAATCTCAGATGCACCCTGAGTCATTTTGTTCTGGAACCGGGCCTGTCCCCTACTTCCACGGTTCATGGAAAAAATATATATTGTACATAAAACATAAATGTAAGTATAGAGAACAACATTTGCTTGGTGTAGAACAATATCTGTAAGTTAAAGAACAACACTTGTAGTATTTTGAATAACACCTTTAACACCGTGACGCTAAAATCGGGTTTCGACTTTTGACCTACATCCATGTAAAGTTGTTTTGTTTTGAAAATAAGTGTTAAGCTGCAGACCTGTTGCATGCTGACATAGGATATGAAGGTGACTAATGATACTCCAGTTGTTGTGTTCTTGCATAACAAAAACTCCAGCTACCATGTGTTTAATGGATAAAGTGTGTCCAGTGTTTGTTTATGATGCAGTTGTGTCCGCAGTAATGAGCTCGCAGACCCTCGGGGAGCGAGTCCAAAGCATAAAGGAGCAGGTGCGTTGGGAATACTCCAGCACAACCATGCTTCTGATTTGATGAATAACTCCAAAGGAGCCAGGAGTGTGTACACACACAAATACACAGCAGGCATCACTTAAGTGTGTTTAAGAGGAAAACACTTCACTGATTTCAAAGACAAATCCCCAGTTCTGGTCTCATCTAGAGGAGGAATAACTATTGTGTTTACGGAACTCTTCTCCTCTGGTTTGTGGCCAGAAATGGCTTCACAGATATCTTAAGATGTACATTTAAACCGGCTGGACGATAAATGGTTTAGTGTTCGGTCATTGCCATCAACACAAACCCTTCATGCACCTGACCTTGATAGCACACCACTGTCTGAGATAGGGGTGTAACGGTTCACAGAAGTCACGGTTCGGTTCGTACCTCGGTTTGGGGGTCACGGTTCGGTACGGTTTCGGTACAACAAGGAAAAGCAAACAAAAGTCCCAAATGCATAATTTTTTTTGCTGTTATTTACTTTTAACAGTAGTGCAAGTTTTGGTATGAAAATAAGGGACTCTAACATTTGGAATCATTAACCACACACACACACACACACACACACACACACACACACACACACACACACAACACACACACACACACACACACACACACACACACACACACACACACACACACACACACACACACACACACACACACACACACACACACACACACACAGATGGCCATATTACAAACAAAAAGATTAAATAAGCTGTACAACTAAAAATAATGTCTTGAAAATATTAAAATAAATAATAAGAAAGTGTTTCAATCACAATCAATAAAAGGCAATACAGAACTGTATAACATCTCCTGATGTCAAAATATAAAATAAATACAAATATAAACAAAATAAAATCTGTACCTTTAGGAGCAATGTCTAACATGTGTAATCATTAACTTGTGAGTGTGTGTGAGGCCATTATGCCTAAATAAAGGGTGCTCAAGCTTTACTCTATTTTTAAGTTATTTTCAAAAAGATGAGTTTGTCTACGTTGTCTGTAGTGAGGGGCAGATCTGTTGGTGGTAACTATGTCACCTGCCGTCGAGAAAACCCTCTCACTGGGGACTGAGGTGGCAGGTACAGCCAGGTAACAATGTGCCAACATGGCTACATTAGGATAAACAGACTCATTATCCTTCTACCAGGCAAGAGGGTTTGAATCGATTGAAATGCACTCCTTTGCCATGTACGCAGACACTTCGTCCTTCAACTGCTGCTTCAAATCAGGCTGCTTACTCTGGCCAGGTTTAAAGAGTGGACTAAAAAGTCCTTCCATGGCTGACCTCTTTGGGGGGGGGGTGCTGACTCTGCTGTCGCTGGTAATGAAGTGGCCTGTGATGTAGTCGCTGGAGTGGCCTCTGTAGTCTCAACCTGCAGTAAAAAAATTACAAACAGGTAATAAGTGAGTTCAGTGACCAATGTTACAATAAAATGCTTAGTTAAGACATAAGATAAGGTATTTAAAATATCACCATAATACATACATTTTCTGCTCTGCTCAGAACTTCAGGGATGATGAGATCTTCATAGATTCTCAGATGAGAGGCACGATCCAAGTGAGGAAGTGTTTTGAACCTCGGATCCAGAGCTGTGCACTTGTGAAGGAAGTCCTGCAGCCCAGCGTCAGAGTATCTTTTTTGCAGATTTTCCCTGATGGCATGCTTGAGTTCCCTGACAGTGGGAGTGTGCTCATCGTTTTGTTCCATAGATTTCAAGATCATGGTTTTAAGTGGTAGGATCATAGAAACCGATGGTGCCGTTTCAGTGCTCAGTATTGTAGTGACTGTCTTCAGAGGTTTCATAATCTCAATCACATTCTCTGCGACTCTTACCTCCTGGTCAGTCAGATTGGCAATATCCTTGTTCTTCAGGGCACTTAGTGCCGAGTAAACAGCCGATTGCTGTTCAAGGTACCGCTCAACCATTTCATAGCTGGAGTTCCAGCGTGTGGCCACATCGTTGATGAGTCGGTGTTTTGGCAAGTGAAGCATCTCCTGCTTTTGCTCCAAAACATGTGCAGCCGTTGTGCTGCGGTGGAAAAAAGAAACAGCTCTTCTGATTTTCCCCAGCAGTCGAGATACCTGGTTGACTGCCATCGCTTTCTGTGATGCTAAGTTTAATGTATGGGCAAAGCATACTATTTGTGGACCCAGTCCTGTTTCACTGACAGCTTTAACAATGTTTCTTGCATTGTCAGTGGTCACTGCGATAGTTTTGGTCTTTTCAAGTTTATACTCTGCTACTGCCTCTTGTAGCTTCTCAGCTAGGTGGGTGCTAGTGTGCTGTTCATACACAGGGCGTGTAAGTAGAACTGGATTTCCCACTCTGAGTTGATGAATTGTGCTGTCACTGTGAGATAACTTTCAGTAGCACGGGAGGTCCATCCATCTGTTGTTAGTGCAACAGCGGATGCAGCGGACAACTCATGCTCAACAACCGCTCGTGTGCGCCAGTAATTGCAGGGACCACGGACTGGCTCATGTGCACACGGGATGGGTCACTATAGCGAGGCTCGAGCACTTTCAATAAATATTTGAAGCCGGGGTCCTCTACTATTGCATAAGGTCGCATTGCCATTGCAATATACATGCCAATTGCTTCGGTTATTTGTTTTGGTCTCTCGGCTGTCATTTCTATTGGCTTCTTAAAAACAGCGGGGATTAGCTGTTGAACAGCTGTCGTCTTTTGCCGGGCTCCGGTGATTGACAAATCTGGGTGATGCCTTCGGATGTGATTTAGCATGTTGGACGTGTTACCACTAGCATACCGCGCCGCTGTGAAACAACGCCGACACACCGTCCTCTTCCGATCCACAACTCGCACCCCATCATTGTTGTAGTCCACAGGGAACCCAACATGTTCCCACACACCTGATTTAAACGAAGCAGGTGGGTCTTCTAGCTCCTGTGTGTTGTGTGAACTCGCCATAGCTAACTTTTCTTCTTCATGTATTTTGTTCGTTTTGTAGTGTTTGTTGTTCTTGTTCTGCATTTGTTATTTACGGGCGGCTGGCTTTTAGGCGCAATACCGCCCCCTGGATTATATATAGTGTAATACTGCCCTGAGTGACAGACTTTTTTCCCACTCGTAAAAAAAGGCGTATTCGCCGTGTGACTGCATGTGCCGAACCGTGACCTCCGAACCGTGACGGTACGGGACGAATACGGATACCGTTACACCCCTAGTCTGAGATGATTATTGGCATGCATTCTACAGGAAAAACATGGCCGCCGTTCCAGAAACTGTTTTGACATCAGAGAATAAGCACTTAAAGGTCCCATGTCATGGCCATTTCTACTGATCATATTTCCATTGTTGAGGTGTACTAGAATATATTTACATTGTTCAATGTTCCAAACTCACATTGGTTTCTCATACAGCATCTCTGTATAGTATGTGTATTCACTCTCTGTCCTACACGCCTTGTTGGAGCTCCTGCCCCCCCCCCCTCCCTATTGGTCAGCTCGCCCACTCTGTTCTTATGAGTCCACCACCATTACAGCGGAACATCAGTGATTATGTGTTACAATGGCGTTTGTTAGCAACCAGAAAATGACACCAGTAAGGACAAACAGATGAGAATGCTGCGTGGGGTCTGGGTGCCGTGTTGGCCGGACGTTGCAGGGCTCGCTGCTCCGAGGAGCAGACAGTGTGAGCTGGGTTCATTTCCTGCTTGCTGCGTGCGGTCTGCGAGACATTGCGAATGGACGCGGGAAGGGGGGATGCTGAGGGGGCTGCAGCACCCCCATATGCGAGGCTCCACTAGCACCCCTAACCCCCCCCACCCCCTGTTTCGCCGCTGAGTGTGTGTGTGTGTGTGTGTGTGTGTGTGTGTGTGTGTGTGTGTGTGTGTGTGTGTGTGTGTGTGTGTGTGTGTGTGTGTGTGTGTGTGCGCGCGCGCGAGGAGCTCCACGGATTGACCAATGGGTCCATTTGGGTATGGGCACGTCACAGTACCCAGGAAGAAACAAATGGAAAAAGAGAAATCTCCAACGAGGCGTTCTGGGGCAGCATAAACAGGTCTTCTCTGTTTTAGAATTTTACTTTCCACAGGGTGCACTTTGATGGTTTGTGACTCTGCAGACCGTTTACATGCAGAACAACCTTCATAACACACAAGCGGACGGGTAATAACCAAAAAAGCATGACATGGGACCTTTAAAATGTTTTCTCAATTCCCACTGTATCAAATGAATACAAACCACCTCATCCATCTTGAAGAAGTGTTGGATCTGTTTCCCCCTCTAGCCAGCAGCATGTTTCTCATATGCTCTTCATGCTCAACGCATCCAATAAATCTGAGCAGCAATGGTGGACATCTGGAGAATCTGGCACTGTCTCTGTCCATGAAAAGCTGCCCTCCATCTTTAACTGCCCACTAAACAAACCAGGTGGCCTTTATTCTTAGTGTTGTCCTCCTTTAACCGGTTAGTATTCAAACTTGCTCTTATTTGTTTCATGGCCTTTTCAGCCACAATCTGATTTTGATGATAGTAGATGGGTAAAAAGTGTCAATGGATAATTCTGATTTGTACCTTTTCCTAATCAGCCTACACCGGGAACAGGCTATGGATTTTAATATTTGTAGGTGACCTTAATTATCTTAGATGAGACCAAACTAGACCAGATTTCAAGGTCCCAGAGCATAACAAAGTTTGAATGGGAACTCATTTCTACCAAAGAAATACTCCCGGGTTCCATGATTTTGGATAACTATTGCTACTTGTAGCTAATTATCAGCCTAGATGTGGAAACACTGTGTGGATTTTAACACTTGTAGGTAACCTACATTTTCTCAGATCAGATACAACTAGTCTAGATTCCTATTCTGTAACATGATGTTTGGCTAGAGCAGAGCACAAATATATTTATCTTTACATGGATATGATGACGAACTGTTTTTCAAACAAATAAATAGTCCCAGATATAATGATTTCTGAAACTAGATTGCTACCTGTGGCTGTAGTTCCTTCACTTGCGGCATAATCTCCTTCCCTTGTCTCAAACGTCATTTTCCTTCACATGGTGCCAAACCTGCAACTCAGTCCATTCACCTGGTTCATCTTCATCACATGCCGCTTACCCCCCCACCTGGTCCCTTAAATGCAGATCATTTGACTCAACTGGTGACACACCCGCAATTCATTTCCTTCATCTGGTCCTTCACCTGTAGTTTATTCTCATCACCTGGCCCATAACTGTAAACAGGTTCATTAAACGTCCGCCCTTAAATGCTTTATAATATGACCTTCCCTTGCTTTCTTTACAGCCTTGGGAATAAACTGTAATATCATTTTTTTTCCTATTACATTTTGTTTAGTTAGATTTACTAGGTCACTAACTCTCGCTGGGATGCCCACATTACCCCATTACTTCAAACTTTGGATTTTACACCAAATACTGTTGTATTTCATTCTTAACAATTCAATTGCCAATTTCTTTCACTGTTTCTTTGTAACTAGCTCATGGATGCACGTTAGATCTTCAGTAGTTAGTTCCAGAGAACTAGCCTTGGATAGTTTTCAATTTGCACCAGAGGCCCAGTTTAATGTTACACATTTTCTGCTGCACTTTTCATGATTTCCTCAGTGCTGTTTTTTTTAACATTTTGAACAACTTATCTTAACCCTTGTATGGTATTCGGGTCTGTGGGACCCGTTTTCATTATTTAGCTAAAGAAAAATGATATGATGAATTCTTTTTTCAAACCCACACTCAATGGCCTTGGCTCATTTTCTGCAAAGAACGTGTGTGTGTGTGTGTGTGTGTGTGTGTGTGTGTGTGTGTGTGTGTGTGTGTGTGTGTTCCCACTCTATCCCAGCTGCAAATTTGGGGCAAGACACAATAAATAAAGCTTCGCCAGTTTGCGTCCTTATCACAGCTGATCAAGATGGCCAAAAGATTCTCTGCTCAGAGGGCCTTGCAAAATATTCTGGAAGAGAGAGAACCATTTTATGATGATGTAGAGGAAGAGGAAGAGGCTTCAGAATGTGAGGATCACATTTCTGAGAATTCTGAGTCTGACAGTGACTTTGAAGAAGAGGGTGAGATTGAGCATCAGCTAGTTGCAAAGAAAAGACGAGCCACAGGAGTAGCCGGTCATCGGGCAAACAAAACGAGTAGCACTTTAATTCATTAATGTGATCTAACACATGTAAAAAGGGCAATTATTAACCATATATTATGTTGATATTGCTTGTAATTGAGATGAAGTAAACATCAGTTGAGTATTTTAACATCAAATAGTTTGATTGTGTTGAATTGAAGCCCAAAAAGGCAGCGGGTCCACCAGACCCACGAACACTGGCTGAGTAACAAAAATATGAACACCACACAAGGGTTAACAGATGACAATGAGGTATGAAAAAGTGTAGAAAAACAGTGCACATTACTGCTTTTGTAGTTTTTTTGTGACTTCTGTTCTGTATTATGTCTTATTGGAAATTGCATTATTTTATTTATTATATGTATTTAAGCTTCCCGTCTGTGATATTTCTTGTTTTATGTTTTTATACGGCACCAAAACCCCTAGCCCATGCTTGGTTCCCATGATTACATGCAGTACAAAAGGACCCTCCATCATGGGGAGTCGCTGAATATAAACAGTGTCTTTGGTTTCTGAACTGTTACAAATAAAGTGAGACGGAGCAAAAGAGAAAGTGCATAAAGGAGGAGAGCGTTTCATGTTCTCTGACAGGAATCAGTGCAGGGGGAATAGTTTGATGAAGAGCAGGAACACCCTTCATCCACAGGCCTTTCTGAGGAACTGGACATGCCTAATACACATTACAGTATCTCTCTCATTTAGGAGCTGCTGAAATGACAATAGCCGGGCCTCGGAACCTTCACAAGTGAAGAAGCGTCTCCATGGAGGAAGTTCTTTTTTATTGAATTGTGTGCCTGGAAACCTGCCTGCATCTTGTTGGAGCGGTTTGAGTTTGACAGCTTGTCAAGAGCACAAAATGAAAACATGCAGTGTATTATAAAATCACTTAGTCTTCGTTTGAATGCTTTTAGAGCTAAAGACAGATGTGCATAGCAACAAGTGGCTATGATAACACTGGACTGAGTCTTTGTGGTTCCTGGGATCACATGGCTGAACATTTACAGACATGTTTTACAGGGCTTCAGAGTGACCTTCCACTACAGCTAATGACTTTGATGGCTGGATTTGGATTTTGAAAACTTTTGATTTTATATGAATAGTTAGATAATAAAAATATCAGAATCAGAATTCCTTTATGCGTCCCACAGAGGGAAAATTACATTATTACAGCAAAAGTAATATAGAGACAACAAATTAAACCCTCTAAGATGAAGGACATGCACGGCGGTGGTGGCGAAGTCCATAGGGACTTGGCTTGGCAACTGGAAGGTCACCAGTTCAAGTCCCGGAAAGACCAAGTGCTACCGAGGTGTCCCTGAGCTAGGCACCGTTCCCTACACTTCTCCCCGGGCGCCGTACATAATGGCAGCCCACTGCTCCTAACACTAGGATGGGTCAAATGCAGAGAAACCGTTTCGTTACATGGTACCTGTACTGTGTAATGACAATAAGTTGAATCTATCTATCTATTTATGTGAAATTGTTCTTTTTTTGAAATAATGGTAGTGTGCAATTATAGGTTTTAATTTTATATTTGTGTTAATTTAAAATAAATCAAACTCCCAAAAAACGTACACAGCTTCTGTGTGCTTTTATTAACATTGGAATTGACTGTGTAAGCGGCCTGAGAGGCTCTGATAACCTCAGCTCAGTGAGG